AGGTCTAAGTCTCATGGCCCTCTATCAGAATCCAGAGTTTTGGGAAGATTGGAGAAACTTAATTTTTCGCCCAAAAAAAAAACGTAAGGGGTACCACTGTCGTTTTTTTTTTTCGGGCCAATTTTTGAGTTTCGATATCTCAGCTCTGGAAGGGGCTAGAGCCTCCATTTTTGCACTCAGGTCTAAGTCTCATGGCCTCTATCAGAATCCAGAGTTTTGGGAAGATTGGAGAAACTTAATTTTTCGCGCCCAAAAAAAAAAAATAAGGGGTACCACTGTCGTTTTTTTTTTCGGGCCGAATTTTTGAGTTTCGATATCTCAGCTCTGGAAGGGGCTAGAGCCTCCATTTTTGCACTCAGGTCTAAGTCTCATGGCCCTCTATCAGAATCCAGAGTTTTGGGAAGATTGGAGAAACTTAATTTTTCGCCCCAAAAAAAAAAAACGTAAGGGGTACCACTGTCGTTTTTTTTTTCGGGCCGAATTTTTGAGTTTCGATATCTCAGCTCTGGAAGGGGCTAGAGCCTCCATTTTTTGCACTCAGGTCTAAGTCTCATGGCCCTCTATCAGAATCCAGAGTTTTGGGAAGATTGGAGAAACTTAATTTTTCGCCCAAAAAAAAAAAACGTAAGGGGTACCACTGTCGTTTTTTTTTCGGGCCGAATTTTTGAGTTTCGATATCTCAGCTCTGGAAGGGGCTAGAGCCTCCATTTTTGCACTCAGGTCTAAGTCTCATGGCCCTCTATCAGAATCCAGAGTTTTGGGAAGATTGGAGAAACTTAATTTTTCGCCCAAAAAAAAAACGTAAGGGGTACCACTGTCGTTTTTTTTTCGGGCCGAATTTTTGAGTTTCGATATCTCAGCTCTGGAAGGGGCTAGAGCCTCCATTTTTGCACTCAGGTCTAAGTCTCATGGCCCTCTATCAGAATCCAGAGTTTTGGGAAGATTGGAGAAACTTAATTTTTCGCCCCAAAAAAAAACGTAAGGGGTACCACTGTCGTTTTTTTTTCGGGCCGAATTTTTGAGTTTCGATATCTCAGCTCTGGAAGGGGCTAGAGCCTCCATTTTTGCACTCAGGTCTAAGTCTCATGGCCCTCTATCAGAATCCAGAGTTTTGGGAAGATTGGAGAAACTTAATTTTTCGCCCCAAAAAAAAACGTAAGGGGTACCACTGTCGTTTTTTTTTCGGGCCCAATTTTTGAGTTTCGATATCTCAGCTCTGGAAGGGGCTAGAGCCTCCATTTTTGCACTCAGGTCTAAGTCTCATGGCCCTCTATCAGAATCCAGAGTTTTGGGAAGATTGGAGAAACTTAATTTTTCGCCCCAAAAAAAAACGTAAGGGGTACCACTGTCGTTTTTTTTTCGGGCCGAATTTTTGAGTTTCGATATCTCAGCTCTGGAAGGGGCTAGAGCCTCCATTTTTGCACTCAGGTCTAAGTCTCATGGCCCTCTATCAGAATCCAGAGTTTTGGGAAGATTGGAGAAACTTAATTTTTCGCCCCAAAAAAAAGTAAGGGGTACCACTGTCGTTTTTTTTTCGGCCCAATTTTTGAGTTTCGATATCTCAGCTCTGGAAGGGGCTAGAGCTCCATTTTTGCACTCAGGTCTAAGTCTCATGGCCTCTATCAGAATCCAGAGTTTTGGAAGATTGGAGAAACTTAATTTTTCGCCCAAAAAAAAAAACGTAAGGGGTACCACTGTCGTTTTTTTTTTTCGGGCCAATTTTTGAGTTTCGATATCTCAGCTCTGGAAGGGGCTAGAGCCTCCATTTTTGCACTCAGGTCTAAGTCTCATGGCCCTCTATCAGAATCCAGAGTTTTGGGAAGATTGGAGAAACTTAATTTTTCGCCCCAAAAAAAAACCGTAAGGGGTACCACTGTCGTTTTTTTTTCGGGCCGAATTTTTGAGTTTCGATATCTCAGCTCTGGAAGGGGCTAGAGCCTCCATTTTTGCACTCAGGTCTAAGTCTCATGGCCCTCTATCAGAATCCAGAGTTTTGGGAAGATTGGAGAAACTTAATTTTTCGCCCAAAAAAAAAACGTAAGGGGTACCACTGTCGTTTTTTTTTTTCGGGCCAATTTTTGAGTTTCGATATCTCAGCTCTGGAAGGGGCTAGAGCCTCCATTTTTTGCACTCAGGTCTAAGTCTCATGGCCCTCTATCAGAATCCAGATTTTGGGAAGATTGGAGAAACTTAATTTTTTCCCCAAAAAAAAAAAACGTAAGGGGTACCACTGTCGTTTTTTTTTTCGGGCCGAATTTTTGAGTTTCGATATCTCAGCTCTGGAAGGGGCTAGAGCCTCCATTTTTGCACTCAGGTCTAAGTCTCATGGCCCTCTATCAGAATCCAGAGTTTTGGGAAGATTGGAGAAACTTAATTTTTCGCCCAAAAAAAAAACGTAAGGGGTACCACTGTCGTTTTTTTTTTCGGGCCGAATTTTTGAGTTTCGATATCTCAGCTCTGGAAGGGCTAGAGCCTCCATTTTTGCACTCAGGTCTAAGTCTCATGGCCCTCTATCAGAATCCAGAGTTTTGGAAGATTGGAGAAACTTAATTTTTCGCGCCCCAAAAAAAACGTAAGGGGTACACTGTCGTTTTTTTTTCGGGCCGAATTTTTGAGTTTCGATATCTCAGCTCTGGAAGGGGCTAGAGCCTCCATTTTTGCACTCAGGTCTAAGTCTCATGGCCCTCTATCAGAATCCAGAGTTTTGGGAAGATTGGAGAAACTAATTTTTCGCCCAAAAAAAAACGTAAGGGGTACCACTGTCGTTTTTTTTTCGGGCCCAATTTTTGAGTTTCGATATCTCAGCTCTGGAAGTAAAGCCTCCATTTTTGCACTCAGGTCTAAGTCTTTTT